AGGATAATATTGTACAGGTGTGTGAAAGTTGTATGCTTCCCATTGTTGTATAATCTTAAGTAAATTTTAAGTAATGCTTTGTCCCTGTAAACGGGGTGTTGTGATTCTCTTGGTATAAACCAGTAACTTCCATGAAGCAACTTACTCTGAGGTGCTAGTATTGTAGCTGGAGCTGCTCTCTTAAAGGCCTAAAATATAAAATTCTGGACTATTTTATCAGCTGAACTAGACAAAAGCCACCTCCATATGTGATGAAATTAGACACATCATATATAACTCCCAGCTGAATGGATTTCAAAGCATTTACAAAAAAGTAATTTTTTGTGCTGCTAAAAATACAACAGTAGAAGCACGGTACTCCGGGATAGCACGCTGTTGTGTGAAGAGTCACGCTCTCCTTAGAACTGCAGGGAAAACTGAGGCAGAAAGTAATCGTCCACACTAGAATTTGGTCAGGTACCAAGCGACTGCTCTGTGTTCTGAAAAAATATCTGGATTCTTACTGAAATTGTATGGTCAGGCTCTGACTTTAAATATCAATCATTCAAGGGTATCACAGTGTCCCTGCTACTAAGACATAGCATTGGATCGGTGCTGATTCAGAAGGAAGCCAGCTACCTGCTCTGAATCAATATGCACACTTTCTGCTTGGATCTGTTCCATACAAACACATAAAGACTTGTACAGGCTAATAGAGGTTTAAAACGATGGTATGGCTGCAGGCTTATGAATTGCTTTTTTTTTTTCCAAAAATGGTTGAATGAATGATTTACCAATTTAACACAGCCATTACTTAAGCAACCAATATACTTTTGTTTACTTACTCTACTTTTTTGTTAATTTACCTAATTTTAATATGCTTATTGAACAGTTTTCACATTTTTATAGGCAGCATTTATGAGTTGTATGCAAGTTTTTTTTATTCTTCCCCTGTTATGTGTAACTCTCACAAATCACGGTGAGACTGGTTTGAGTGTATGATCAATTTATTAATTAGTAAGAAATGGCAATAAGCAAAACAGCGCTGGGTGGCCCGGGAGCCTCTGCTCCACCGACGACACACGTGGGTTGGCAAAGCACATCAGGTTATGTACAGAAAAATCATACATATTCATCAGATTTCCTGGAAAGGGTAGTTTTATGGTGATGAGCTCCCAAGCATGCGCAGTAAAATTAGGGTTAGGGTCTTTTCACCCTCCGGTGGTCATTCATAGTCTTCCTCACTTTGTCCTCTGGTTGAACTTTGGGCTTCCTTTGTCCATATATAGTCATTGAATTAGTTTATCAGTCCTTTGACTCTGGAATATTACAAGGGGGTCAGTTTAACTAGTTTTTTAACACTTATCTTGACACAGTCGTCCTGAGTTCCTATTATCAGTGATTTACACCGGAGGCCTAATGAGCTAGCTCAAGGCCTGTAAATTCTGGTCAGGTAAGAATTTACATGTCTCTACTAAATCACTAAAACTATGCAAGTGAAGCTAAGAAAAATCACAGCAAGATTTTAGTCAGGGATTGTCAGGGATTTAACCCTTTCATTTCCCCCATTTCTCTGAAATTTGTAAATTCCTTTACAGATATTCTGAGTTATCATATTTCATTACCTTAGGCAAAGTCCAAACTCTCACAGCCAGTTTCCTTAGCTTATACCACAAAAGGCAATTGTCTCATCAAGTTTGGTGAACAAACAATATACCACTTATCACACCCCCACCTCTAAGTTGAAATATTACATTGTCCTTATCGATAGGTTCTCATATAAACTGGAACTGTAAATCGGTATAAATGTAGAACATAGAGCATACCAGTAAGATTAGATGCAATTGAGAAGAGATAGTCCTATATGTTTCAATTTAGAGGGCTTTGGATATAAATCTGTGGCTTGGACAGACTTCTCTTGATTTGCTTTCATAATAGATTTGATACATTTCATTTTGTAGATTCTCCTAGTTATGTAAAACAAATCTTTGAGAATTATGCCTCCTAAAATACTATGAACCTGTCTTTTATGCTATATATTTCAAAATCAGATTTGGTATGATCAGGGTGAGTGCATCACATTTGTATATATAAATGGTGTTACTAGTTTCATTTGTTATGTGCTGGTGTTGCTTTTATTATTATTAAAAAAGGCAAAGTCACTAAGGGAAGATATTATTTTCGGGGCGTTTTCTTCTCCATTGGAACAATAGTAAAAGGATTATCTGACTTTCAGATTTCTATTATTTGGCCTACAACTGAGGATAGAGAATGTATAGAGCGGCTGTAAAATCAGTTCCCTGTCATACATGTAAAACAGTTTGGATGAATCCCTGAATGTTTTGATACCCATGATGAAATCAGTAAACTTAATTGGAAGACAAGCATGGGTCCTGAGTATGTTCCTTGTAAAACCCCTTGAAGCAAACACTCCTAACTTAAATTAGCTCTATGTAGAAAATAAACTTGCATTGATGTAAAAAGTCTGTCTAATAAATGCTGATCTGGCAAAGATATAATTGCAGGATAGAAGCTTGTAGTTTGAGAGCTCAACAAAGAGGATTTTTGTAGGAAGGTTTTCAGGAGAGATCTCAAGGCAGGTTAACACCACAAATACAGCTATAGTCTGCTATTTAAACTGCAACTGCCTCACATCATGGGAACAGTTACTCTGTTATGCTCTGAAATAGGAATTTCAGAGACATCCAATTTATACTACAATGTAGTCACTATTGTATTGGAACCATTTAGCTGCTTTAACTTCTCTGTGACATACAAATTTGGATTATGCTGAACGATGTAAATATTATAGGTAGCATTAGCAAAAACAATAGATAAACCACAAGTATCTTTCCAGGTGAGTAGAAATAGCTCTTTGACTACTGATGGAGATGGGATTTCCACCTGCATTTCAGAAAATGGAGCATCACCAGTTCTATTTTTCAGAACTTAAGATACAGAAAGAGCTTCCTCACTGTGGTATTACAATCATGTATGTTCCTCACCTGCAGATGCCACTGCTGTTTGTGACCCTGTTCTCTGCACTGTAAAATATCTGTGCTGGTAGAAAGGCTGTTTTAATGTAAGGACAGCCATTGCTATGGTTACAGTGAAGACAGATTTGGTACTATTATTTTAATACACAGGAAATACTCCATCCCCAGGCAGGATTAGTATTATAATACATGTGAAATAAAAATCTTTTGAGTATTGTATGTATAATAATGATGAGACATTTTTATATTCCACAATATTGGCAAAACATGTTCATCATAAATTAAGGCAGTGGTTTAGGGCAGTGGCTGCCATCTGGCTATTAAACCATTGAATGATACCACCTTAATTCATAAATTAATGAATTTACCTAACCTAGTCTAGTCTAACAGTGAATACGCCTGATATATTTGCTTATGTAGAATGTTGGTAAGGCCGATTCTCATGATCTTCCCTATACAAGACAGCACTTATGCATTAATTTAATTTTTAAATCTTTAAAGTACAGTATCTGTGGAAATTAAATTAAATTGAGATTACTTGCTTGCATGCAAGTTTTCTGTAAACTGTGGCTGAAATTAGAAGACATAAGATTTTGATTGTCTTAACTTTCTTCATAAAGTCTTGACAAACAAAATGATGTTTTAAAAAATTATTGAGGAATGCAATAGTTTATATAACAGCCAAACTACATTTGTGTCTATTTTATGTCTTTTGGTCTAAATAAACTAAGCAACATACCAAGGTTATGTAGTCTGAAAATATGATTACAGTAACTTTTAAATCTGTGTTCTTCTGCTACTGCTTGAAAATAAACTAATGTATGACTGTCTCTTCAGCTAGTGTAAATAAAGCTCTTTTTTTAACAGAACTGTCTGCTATATCAGTGAAGTGGCAGGCTTATAACATTTTAAAAGACTAATTCTACAGGAACTTGCAGCAACTTTACTTCAGACTGAAGCATTTGATGTAGAACAAACAAAAAAAACCCCAGTGAAAAGCATACATACAGAAGAACATGAAAACAAACTTTCCCAACAGGAAACTAAATGGGACAGCAACTACTGCTTAAAGTTTTTCTAAGGCTTATGCTTCTGGAACAGCTGCAACAGAGTTGGGGTGGGGGCGGGAGCGGCCAGTCAGCACACAAGTACTGCACACCATATTAAAACTACAAAGAGCAGCTGAAGTGAGAAGCATGTATCTTAAGTGCAGCACTGTGGAGGACATACTGCCAACAGGCCCTTTTCTACTATAGTCCTCACTCCAGGCATTCTTAAAGCACTCCAGAAGCTGTTAGATAATTTAAGGAAAAAAATAGGAAATTTTAAAACAAATTATTAAAAGAGACTAGGTGTAAAAATAAATAAATCTGTACTACTACAAATGTACAACTTAATACACCAGAACAAAACAAAAAAAGCAACTGTTCTCTTTTTTCACATTACACTCAAGTGTATCGGAAGCCATATTAAGATAAGGTAACAGTTATTGTTGAGTCTAACATTCTACTTTGCTTAGTAATGTGGCAGCAATGTAATTTTCAATTTCTGGGTATCACACAGCAGACTATTTTGGTGCATAGTGTCTGCCAAATTAATTAACTCTTCAATAGGATTAAGTATAAGCTTTGGTATTTTCATATACTTTGAGGCAGTTTTGGGTACTTTTTAAAGCTTTAAGGTAATAGTTCTTTTTATTTAGAGACACAAGAGTGAATAGTAACAAATTATCCTTTTAAGAAATGACAAGTCACTCATTACCACTTACCAGCAAATGTTATTAAACCTGTAATTAGTACAATTTTTCTTTTAAAAGCAACACACTTTCTCAATTTCATTTAATAGAATGTTGACAGGGCTTTAAAGAGCTGGGCTGATTGTTTCCCCTGTTCTTTAAAGGATGGTACAGCAAACCCAAGAGCATATTTGTATCTTGTTTTTTTTCCCCCCAGACTGAAGTTAGGTAAACCGCTCCGGCTATGTTTTTTGATCGTTCCACAAAAGTATTATAAAATCAAAGAAACATGGTTTTGCCTGTGATAGACTTTAATATGCATGTTTTAAGTACAGAGTGAGCAGCAGGCTTATGTATGTTTCAGCTTAGCAATAAGTAAGTATTAAGTTGTCATATTTGATCTTCAGTGATGGCCTCCGTTCTTCTTCGGAGGAAACAGTGTATATTCAATACCAAGAGCTATGACGAAAGCTGCAAATCCCCACTTGAGTCCCCTAGTAAAGACTTCTGTTAAGGTGACAGGTTTTGCAAAGCCACCCATATATCTCCAGGCTTCATTACTAGAAGAAAAATGAAACCAAAAGAATAAAACAAGATCAATGGAGCCACTGTGGTAAACATTAACAGGAATCTCTTTGTTCGGAAAAAAAATGAAGGTATTTCAACTAGATATACATTGAGACTGTAACTTTTATCATTTAAGTAACGGGAGTTGCCACAAGTAAAGTTCATTATATTAACTCTTAACCCTTTATGCATGTAATTTGAGATGCAAGTAACACCAGCAAACAACATAATTCTAGTAACAGAATCACCTCCCCAAACTTGTTATGCAATTGTTGTCTTCTGTTTTTACTCTGTTTGGAATAAAATCAGAACCCACTAGCACATGCCTGGGATGGAGTAACTACAAGCGCTAGTCACTGTGCTAGACAGTATCCAGCATAGTTAAAAGGGAAAGTTTTTCCAGCCGTAGAAAACTCATCCTAGCGTGGAAGCACTTTGTTTTACAATATGACACTTAACTATATTAGGGTCAGAAAAGCCTACTAAAACTGATTTAAAAAAAAAAAAAGGCTGAAAAGAGTGTGTTTGGCTAAAAAGCTACAGAATATTTACAAACCTCATGCTGCCTTACTGTTTTCAACCTACATTGTTATTGAAACCTTTAGTCACTGCTGTAACTGACTACAAGTACTTATGTGTAGCACAACCAGTGTAATCTATAGCAGAGACAAACTGTGTCCATCTCTAAGGACCTTAAGAAAAGGAAAAAAAATTTGCACAGAAACAAGCAATAAAATCCGAACCATCACTTCAGGAGAAGATACAGGTTTTTTTAAACAAGGGGGTCAAGCATTTATGTTCATAGATAATCCCCTTGTGCAGGTGGTTTCTGTGACTCGGGATGAAGGAAAATTGGCATGGAAGAGTTACCTTCTAGATAATAGTATAGGATACTAATTGATAAAGACTTAGGTTTCCAAATACGACATCTTTCACACAGCTTACTCTGTATTGAATATGTACATTAATGTGCATTTGCTACAAAGGTGGAAAGCTGATCCCCTGTTAAAAGGAACTTAATATATGAAAGAGGGGAGACCTACAGAGGGTTACTTTTTCAAGACTTCTAGTGCAAAGTATTAATAATGCAATCGTCTTCCAGACTACTGAAGCAAATACATTGATACTTTAATTTCTCCTTTGTCCTGAAATGGAACTGAAATATTACCTTACATAAAATTCAGAAAGTTCAGGAGGAATCATCTCTCATGCTTTAAGAGTTTGACTTTGTTCCTTATTTCAACTCCTGTAATTGGCTCAGTCACCTTCTTTTACCAGAGGAACATTAATTTTTTTTATCTAGGAGGGGCAACAAATACTACACAAGCTCTTTTCTAGTTTGCTGTTTTGCAGCACTTCCTGAGCAGTGTACTTGGAAGTGTATGCACTAAAAGTCAGGTTAATTTACACTAAACTTATGATATTAAACTGTGTCCATTTTTTTATGGGAATAAGCCTATTGCTTGCTGAAAACAATTTTGTCTGAAGCAAAGGGAAAAAAAGCTAATGACTGCTTGCACTCCACAGAAAGAGGCAACATAAGTGTGACACAGGCCTGGAAAGTTCATTGGTAACAGATCATCCTAAGAACTCATATGTCAAATGATTCTTATCATCATCGAAACTATGTTTTACTCTATGCTTACAGCTTTCAACTGTTTCAAAGGAAGGAAAAAAAGTCCTGTCAATCCCAAACCCCTCCAGAGGTTATAGCATGTAACAACTTTTTAACAGATTACCTGCTTGCTCTTACATTTTTCTTGTAGTGATTTGAAGTAAAGCCTTTTCTATGAAGGCTCCTGGAATAGTTTGCTCATGCAGCTTTTCCCTTACGGAAGAACCAGACTACACAGCACAAGACATTTAGCATTTTTATTCCCCAAGATTAAAGAGTACTTCAGCAAAGTATTACGTAATTCATGATGTGGGAGAAATATGTTAAGCCCTGTTTTAACAGCTGCCTAAATGACCCAGAATTGCTGTAGCTGAGAAAGAGGAGGTATTCATTGTAGAGTGGGACAACTTAAAGAGGTAAAATCTGATCCTCCATTTTGTCATTCACTGCTTAGCAAAAAGAAATGCACAGTTGAATCAAATTCCACATTGTATACTAGTATATTTCTTCTTTTCAAATAAAGGCCTCCTGTTGTATATGAGGAATGCTATTCCTACTCAGAATGTCAATGTAAGTTCCATCAACTTCAGCAAGATCTGAGCACACAATCCCGTTGCTGAAAAGGGACAGGCTTACTCACGTGTGCAAAACCTAATATTACTTAAGTGTTTTGGTGGACGAGGTATTGTCATTGTGCCTGATCTGTATCATCATGAAACATCACAAAGTGCAAGGGTGCCTTGCAAAATGTGGAGACTGGTCAAGGTGATGCAAGGTGCGACCTCCATGCAAAAAAGTAAACAAAGACTTAACTGAAATTCTGACTAATACATTCTAGATGCATTTTCACTATTTTTACTAAAGAATAATCTGCAATGACAAGGTCCAGTTGATGCCACAAGACGACATACCAAGATTATTTTTGAGGCTCTTGCACTTACCGAGCCCACGGATCCCTAAGACCCCGTTTAGCTAGCCTTTCCTGGACCTTCTCTAGTGGAGTACCCTCTATCTTCCACTGCCTGTAGTCGGGGAGTTCCATTTTGCCATGGCCATGTTCATTTCCATGCCCCATACCTACAAGAAAAGATAGGAATTTTTGTTCCTCAGAGAGTATCAGCTTATTTTCACAGACTTGCAAAGAGCAATACCCTGTACAGGAAAAACAGGGAGGTTACAAGGAGCATTCCAAAGCACGTAACACTGCACATGAACCATCTTCTGCACTGGAAACAGTACACTGTAGAACAAAGAGCTAAGAGACTTTATGCTGCATTTCAGAAGTTGCTGATTAAGCACAATAAGGCAAACTGTACAGAGCTAAGTGTTATTGCATTGTAAGTCACCACCACCATTACAGTCATGAAGCAGCTATATAAGTTTTCTGTGCCAGAAAATAGCGTCAGAAAAACAATTGTTTCCAATGTCTGTAAATGCACTTTAGCGACACCAGGGCCCACCAACTTGCGGGCTTTCCAGAGTACATCAAAAAGCTCAGTTTGGAAATTTCTAATTTAGGTATGGCAGAGATATGATCATCAAGCTCTGGAGAAAAAAACATGACTTGGCTCCTCAGCTCCTTTTAAGTTGCCCCCAATTCGGTCAAACATAACTGTGGTGATAAACACGTACAGGATAGATAAACACGTACAGGATAGATGAATGGACTAGGAGATGCACCTTACTGTAGCCATATGTTGGGGTTAATACCTATCCTAGACTGTAGTCTTCATTTTTCTAGTCTGATTAGCTTGTATAAACAATGCATGCTGTACAACGACTATGCCCTTGAAGAAGAACTAAAAGACTGATAAAAGGGGAACATCCTGCCCTAGAAGGCGTCAGAGGCTAGATGACTGCCAAAGAAACAAGAAGTCAGCAAAAAACTGCGGTAACTAGGGGAAAGGTAAAGGCAGCGGGGGAGATCGCAACCACCGACTCAATTCAAGACTGGAAAGACTTGCCCCCTCACACCTGCAAGAAGCATGTGTGCTAATTTACATGGTAAGCAAGGCTAATTGGAACATAACTAACCAATGAGCATGAACTTAGGCGGGCTTTTACTAATCATGTAACAATATAAATATGCTGTAGTTCTTTTGTGTGGTGTGCTAGCTTTGTGGAATTGCCACCTAGCACCCATCTTTGCGTGAACATGAGCTAAATAAATATCTCAGTTCTGTGTGTAAGATTGGCTTACTGCACACCGGGTACCGGGTGACCCCACTTGTGGGACATTACCAGTCATTTCACGAGGCTGGAAAATATATACTTTATTTAGATACACCTTTGAGAGAACTATGGAAGTATTAAGGTTCTCAATAATGGTGATCAAGGCAGACAGGAAGGTGAACATTTTCAGTGAGATCATGAAGGACTGGAAGAAAATAACGATGGCTTTTAAGTCTCTCTTTTCACAAAGCACCTGAGACTTCTTTGAGCCAGGATTTCCCATTTTAACACATATCTGGTAGCAAAGAGCGGATTTAACGTCCTTAGTTTGTAGGAGAATTGACTGGAACGCAATGATGCCAAGAACACGGCTTCAAAACCTTTAACTCTTGAAGAGCCCAAGCTATGGAGGCAAGCAACGAGGATTCTCCTGCAGAAGGAAACCTGAGGAAGAGCTCTAATGCTGTCATTACCCGAAAAGCTCCCCCAGAATTAACCCTCAGTCTACACCCTTGCCGTAAAAACCCCAAGACCTCTCTCCTACCAGTATCTACCTTTCCACAAGAAAGGGGTTTAAGCGTACGTGCACACCAGCGCCCGCACGCCGCGGCCAGCGGGCTGCACTGCAGCGCCAGCCGGACCCTCTCCCAGCAAAACCGGCAAAAGCAGGGCCGAAAGGGCCTCACGAGGTGGGGGAGGGAGGGCCCGCGCAGCGCCAGCGCCGAGGCCCGCTAGCCCAGGCGGGGCGGGTGTCCGTCCAACGGGG